GAACCTGCGGGCTCAGGCAATCCACTCACCTCAGCCTCCCGAAGGCGCGGGATTACAGGCTGAGCCACCGAGCCCGGCTCCGATTCTTTTTTAAAATAATGTTTACTTGAGCCAATGCTTTGGGTTTATATTCAGTGAAACTTTGAAATGTATACAAAGAAAAAGAAATACTCAGGAGAGACATATTCCTTTGAATATCAAGGAAGAGAGTGGAAAAAAGGCAAATTGTAGTAATTTCTTTTTTTTTTTGAGTTGAAGTCTTACTCTGTCGCCCAGACTGGAGTGCAGTGGCTGCTCCCGGGCACCGCAGCATTGCCCTGCTTGGCTCCGGCGATCCTTCCGCCTCAGCCTTCCAAGTAGCTGGAACTACAGGCGCGTGCTATCACGCCCGGCTAATGTTTTTATTTATTGTAGATACGAGGTCTCGCCAAGTTGCCCAGGTTGGTCTCAGACCTGTGGGCTCAGGCAGTCCACTTCCCTTAGCCTCCCAAATTGCTGTGATTATAGGCGTGAGCCACCATGCCTGGCTGTCACCTTTTACGAGTAGGTTTGCTATCTTTTCCACTAGATTGTGAGTTCCTACAAGAAGGATTATATGTAGCAAAAAAATTTTTGGTTTTTCTTTTTTTCTTTCTTTTTTTTTTTGGCTACACGTTATCTAAAACCTGGTTCCTGGTTTTGAAGCCAGGCAAATCTTCACTGATCTGCTACTCCTTGGAATGCCAAATCGGGAGAACCTTTTGAGCCCAGGAGTTCAAGACCAGTCTAGGCAATATAGTGAGACCTTGTCTTTACAAAAATATCAAAAAATTAGCCGAGCATGGTGGTGCACCCATGCAGTTCTAGCTACTTGAGAGGCTGAGGAAGAAGTATCACGTGAACCCAGGTGGTCAAGTGAGCCAGGACCATGCCACTGCACTCCAGCCTGGGTGACAGTGAGAACTTGTCTCAAAAAAAAAAATTACCGCCAGGCTCAGTGGCTCAGCCTGTAATTCCGTGCCTTTGGGAGGCTGAGGTGAGTGAATTGCCTGAGCCCGCGGGTTCGAAACCCGCCTGGGCAGCGAGACCTCATCTCTACGATTAATCAAAAAATCAGCCAGGCGTGGTAGCGCGCGCCTGTAATTCCGGCTACTCGGAAGGCTGAGGCGGAAGGATCGCCGGAGCCCAGCAGGTCGAGGCTGCGGTGGCCGGGAGCAGCCACTGCACTCCAGTCTGGGCGACAGAGTGAGACTCCAACTCAAGAAAAAAAAAAAAATTGCCACTTCTAATTGTCATCTTAGAGAAATTCTTAAATCCAGAGCCTTGGTTTTCTCTCATTTGTAAAATAAGGCAAATAATATCTATCATTCAGGACTACTGTGAGAATTTTAAGTGTGCTATGTTTTAAGTACCTGGCATATGGTAAATTCCAGCTACTTGGAAGGCTGAGGGGGAAGGATCACCTGAGCCTACAGGTCGAGACTGCAGTGGCCGTGAGCATGCCACTGCATTCCAACCTGGGTGATAGAGTGAGACTACAACTAAAAAAAAAAGCCAGGTGATTTCAAAATAAGAGAACTTTCCATATTGTTATTGTTTTCTAAATACCCTTAGTTGGTGCTCAGTAAATATTTGTTGACTGAATGAACAGATTAATACTAGGAACCTATTCATTTAGGTTCTGTTGATGAATTTGGTTTAGCAACAGAGTGGAGAGTAAATACTTTTTGACTGGAATGATTTTCAACTGGGCCAGAGAAGTCCAGAGATGACACCACTTTAGGTAAGGGGAAACTGATACACAGGGAAGTTAACAGGTTGAAAAGCACTGCAGAAGCTTGTTTATTTCCTACTACCCAAACTGCATTCTGTGTATTACTGATTATATGTCCTTCATCCTAACTTTGATAAAAATAAGAGCTGTACTTCTGTTCATAGCTTCTGAGTGGCTTTCAGATAATAGAACCATACTGCTGCTAATCTCAAACTGATCTCAGATACCTTGGAGGTGAAATGTTTTGCCTGGGCTGGGTGGCTCAGCCTATAATCCCAGCACCTTGGAAGGCCAAGATGAGTGGATTACCCGAGCCCGCAGATTCAAGACCAGCCAGGGCAATTTGGCAAGACCTCGTCTCTACAATAAACAAAAAAATTAACCGGGTGTGATAGCGCATACCTGTAGTTCCGGCTACTTGGAAGACTGAGGCAGAAGGATCGTGGAGCCCAGCAGGGCAAGGCTGCGGTGGCTGGGAGCGGCCACTGCACTGTCTGGACGACAGAGTGAGACTCCAACTCAAAAAAAAGAAAAGGAAGTGAAATGTTTCTATAAGGCATTAGGTTCCCAGGTAGGTTTCTTTCCAAAGTTTGGCTTATTCCTGAAATAAGATTTAAGGTTTCAGGATGGTCACTAAAATTGGACTAGATTACCCTACACAAATTATTTGACAGTTAAAGATAATTAGATAGTCATAAAATTTTTTTTTTTCTTGTAGAGCTGGGATCTTGCTATGCTGCTGGTTTAAACTCCTGACTTGGAAGTGATCTTCCAGTCTCAGCCTCCCAAAGTGTTGAGATTACAGGAATGAGCCACCATGTCTGGCCTCATTTTGTTTTTTTTGTTTTTTTGAATTAGAGTCTAACTCTGTCGTCCAGGCTGGAGTGCAGTGGAATGTTCACCACCACCCCAGCGTCAACCTGCAGGGCTCAGGTGATCCTTCCACCTTATCCTTCCAAGTAGCTGGAACTACAGGCATGTGCTACCATGCCTGGCTAATTTTTTTCATTTTTATTGTAGAGATGAGGTCTGGCCAAGTTGCCCAGGCTGTTCTCGAACCTATGTATTCAGGCAATCCCCTCACCTCAGCCTCACAGAGTGCTGGGATTACAGGTTTGAGCCACTGCTCCTGGCTTCATTTTGTTTTTAATAGACATGGCTGTAATACAATTGTTTAGAAACAAGTTAAACTTTTTTTTTTTGAGTTGGAGTCTCATTCTGTTGCCCAGACTGGAGTGCAGTGGCCGCTCCCGGCCACTGCAGCCTGCTGGTCTCCGGCGATCCTTCTGCCTCAGCCTCCCGAGTAGCCGGAATTACAGGCATGCGCTACCACACCTGGCTGATTTTTAGATTTATTGTAGAGATGTGGTTTTGCTGCCCAGGAGGGTCTCGAACTCGTGGGCTCAGGCAGTCCACTCACCTCAGCCTCCGAAAGGCGCAGGATTACAGACTGAGCTACCAAGGCCGGCTAGAAACAAGTTAAACTTTTGATACTTTGTTAATGCTATCAATAATGTGAAATATTTATTGATACAACTTTTTTTTTTTGAGTTGAAGCCTCACTCTGTCACCTAGACTGGAGTGCAGTGGCTCCTCCCGGCCACTGCAGCCTCGACTCGCTGGGCTCCAGCGATCCTTCCGCCTCAGCTTTCTAAGTAGCTGGAACTACAGGTGCATGCTACCTCACTCGGCTAATTTTTGGCTTATTGTAGAGATGAGGTCTCACCAAGTTGCCCAGATGGGTCTCGAACCCGCTGGCTCAGGGAGTCCACTCACCTCAGCATCCCAAAGCGCTGGGATTACAGGCTGAGCCACCGAGCCTGGCTGATAAAACTTTAAAAATATATTTTCCTGACTTTGTTTCTCTTTTTCTTTTACTTTTTTTTCTTTTTTTTTTTTGAGTCGGAGTCTCATTCTTTCACCCAGGCTAGAGTGCAGTGGCAAGGTCACATAGCTCACTGCAGCCTCAGTCTCCTGGACTCAGGCGATCTCTCAGCCTCAGCCTCCTGTAGTTGATACTATAGGCACACACTACCACACCTGGCTAATTCTTGTAGAGATGAGGTCTTGCCATGTTGCTTAGGCTGGTCTCAAACTCCTGGACTCAAGCAGTCCTTCTGCCTCAGCTTTTCAGAGTTCTAGGATTAGGCATGAGCCATTGTGCCTGGCCCCTGACTTTCTTAAATGAAATATTTTAAGACTATGACATTTTTGTTTTCTTCGGATTTAATTTTAAAAAATTTTCTTTTTTACTGAGTTGGGATCTTATTATGTTGCTTAGGCTTGTATCAAATTCAAGTGGACTCTAGCAGTCCTCCTGCCTTGGTCTCTCAGAGTACTGCGCTTATAGGTATGAGCCACTGTGCCCAACCCATTTTTGTTTTTTTAAGTAAAATAAAGTTATTTGACTTTTTTATGATCAAAAGATAAGGTGTTTATGACATAGTATGTATACTCATAATTTTCTTTTGGGGGGGTTGGAGTCTCAACCTCTCGCCCAGGCTGGAGTGGAGTGACGTACTC